TGTACTGTTAAAACCTGGAAACAAATGTCATGAATCTACATAATATTAAAGGGCAGTGTGTCTATATAGTTTGCAAAATTATTTACAAATAAAACACAACAATCAAGATTATGTAAGTATTCACCCTGTTGTTGTACACTGGTTCTGCCATCAGACATCATGTAATTATTTGAGTAGAGTCCACTTGTGTGCAATTAAAGTGTCACCTCATCTCAATATAAATACATCTGTTGCTGGAAGAGTTTGTTACCTAAATAAACAGCATCATGACAACCAAGGAGCTATCAAAACAGCATGAATTTTGTAATTTAAAAAAATCCCAAACACAGATCATTCTGTGGAGCAACAATCAATCCATTTCCATAATAAAACACGGAAAAAAATAACACTGCAATTCTATCTAGAAAAGGACAAGGACCAAAAGTCAGTCACTGTGTTAGGGGGACGTTAGTCAAGGAAACAAACAAGAGGACTTCTCCTCTTTATAGTCAGTTGTACCGAAATGTCAGTATTATTGCTGGCTTACGAAAGCCAGGTGACCTGAATATCTTCACAGACTGTATATCTTCACACCTCCAACAAATCTTCTATCTCTGCCTGAACATCTGTCTCACTCTGTTTTACAGTACGTTGTAGACTGTAGCCAGGTTGGCAATCTCCCCACTCTGACCTTCACCATCAGTGAAGTGACTTTCCCTCTGGCTCCTTCTGCCTATATCCAAGTGAGTTTATAAAAGTTTATATGATATATTGAGTTATTCTAAGGAACAGTAAGGAAGTCCATAGCCTAATTATGTTGTGCATATGCTCACAGGAGACCCAGAGTGGCTACTGCATCGTTGACATCTACCCCACCTACCTGCCCGCTCAGAACAACCAGCCTCTCTGGATCTTTGGTGATGTCTTCCTCAGGGTTTACTATTCTGTGTACGATCGTGAAAACAACCAGGTGGGCTTTGCCCAGGCTGTCTGAACACCACTACCTACACTCCACGGACATCTCTAACGGAATCCACAGTCTCCTTAGCATATTAAATTATATTGCACTGATTTCAAACTCCTAATCTTTCAATTAAAGTAAGAATCATGCAAAACTTGTCTTTAGTTCTTTTTTTCACATGATTGCTACCAGCCAGAGAGGGTGAGGGTGAACATGTGATTCCTCCAAGACAAATGAAGCACACCTCTTTTCAAAATGCTGCTCATGCTGCATCACAGGTCAGTGTAACACACTCAGAGGAAAGAGCTAACCGCCCTCTTACAGATACATGGGCACACAGATGCCCATGATTTGCTGGTGTTGCTCTAATTGACAGGGAAGAGAGAGTAATCACATCCCTCCCACCCAGAGAGCACGGCCAAGTTTGCTCTTAAATCTCTGGGCCACGGATGGCTGCAACATTGTTGAGAGTCGAACTTGCAATCTCCTGAAGATAGGGGGAACTCTTTTGCATTTCACCATACAGGAATATCTTCTATAGTTCTGATTCTATGCATTTGGGTAACATGAAGCGTTGCTCAAACACAAAGTAGATTGGATACAAGCAAGTATTCATCACTTCACTAGTCGATCTGAATTCAGTTGAACAACGTGGTGTTTTTTTTTTTTTTGAGTATCTGTTTGTTGTTAAAACCCAGTGAAATCTAGCTGAGATCTGATCTAAACCTTAAAGGTTATGCATCCTGGTCCAAATCTGATTAATATGTTGATCAGAAAGAGAATTTCAGATGCTGACAATCATTACTATATCATTAAAAACTTCTCTAAAAGTCTTTAACTTAATCTTAAAGCCTTTAAGAACATGATCTAGGTCCAAAGAACACATGATGTTAAAGAACACATGATCTAGGTCCAAAGAACACCAAATGTATCCATAATTCAACATGTAAGCATGTTATTAAATGCTATAGTATTCTTACTTTTTAAAGTTTTGCAGCAATCCAGAATACTTAGAGCTGACAACAGTATCCATTTCATGTTAGCAGATTGACCTCTCTAAAAAATATACCAAAAAAATGAAATGAAAGGAAATACAGTTTTATGAACACTGTTGCAGGCAATAGTGAAATGTGCTGCATTATTTAAAAAGGAATGGGGACTGTCATCTAGTGCCCATGGGTGGACAAACAACTGAGAAATTATACTTAAGTCAAAGTACAGATAATGTGTTAAAATCTTACTCAAATAAAAGTGAAAGCATCTAGCCAAAAGAGGTACTCAAGTGAAAAGTAACTTGTATTACTTTTAAAAACCGTTAGATGATTTTTGTTTAAAGCAACTACATCATTTTATCTGAAAACATTCAATCTCTCTAAGTTTGAAATAGTTACCATTAGCTAGAATTTTGATTGTAATTTTCTAATTACAGTGTATTAACTACTAGAATTGATGCTAGTCTAACCTGGCCTTTAAGAGCTATAGTTTCTGAACATGTAACGAGCAGCACATATTACTATAACTGGGGTGTTTCTAGAAGTTTAAGGTATGAGGGTCTCAGCCCATAGAGGCCTCACATGATTTTTTTTTCAAGCTGTCTAAAATGCCCTAAAATATTTCCATATTGGTGTCTTCATGGTTTAATCATGGCAAACCCATATGTGTGAAGATCGGAATTATCTGATATCTAAGAACAACAGTGTCAATTGATCAAGTGAATTCATTGGGTTTCACCACTCCCTATGCTGTTTTTGTCAGACTGATGGTACTACAGCCAGCTACCCTGACAGGAAAGGTCTGCTCAGTCACCACTTTCACTATAACCCTCCCACCTTCTTACAAAGAGTGTTCTTTTAACAGCCAATTGAAAACAGTGCCCCTGGGTTTGACAGAATCGTTTAATACTTTTTTTTTCATTGGGACAAAATATACCTTGGTGGCTGTCAATATACTTTGACAGTGTAACATTGTGTGGGAAACACTGCAAGTAGTTTTGTATACTTACATTAATGAGTGCATGAATAAAATAATTTCCTGTGTTAATATTGAAACAGTGCAACAGTTTATAGATTACAATATAAACACATTTACCAATAACCTGGTCTTAAATGTGCACTACCCGCTAAACAACAAATCAATAATACTTGATTACAAAACGAGGAAACGTACTTTTGTTTTGAGAAAGCTATGTTGTCTGAACATGACACTTTGGCTATTCTTGAGTATATAATTTTTGAGCACTTTTTGGGCAAGATTGTAACCATTTTAAGCCTTTAAAAGCTTGTTGCCTATGTTTATCATGGACAAATACAAGGACATTAATCAATTTATTTCCTTTAATAAGTCTAAAACGGTACAGCTACCTACATATTAGCTAAAATTCTTGTTCTTCTGTCAACAGACTACATAAACAGATTTACCAATAACCTGGTTTTAAATGTAGACTACCTGTGGAAAGCTGATGCCTTGTCTGACTGCCATCAACCTCACCGCTTGGCCTGTCTAAAATGAACAACAAAAAATGAGAAGACGTAAAATACAAATAGTTTTGTTTATATGTCATGAATAACCTATTTCGTTCATGATTGTATTTATATTTTATCTAAACATTCCTGAAATAAAAAACAATTTCTCAAAGCTAAGCCTCATCTTTGTCTCATACCCTGCTCATATCACTCCTCCACTGCCCACAGTCTCCTCCTGACTGCTGGCTGACTTTGTTAAGCTGAAAAAAAGTCAAGAACTTAAAGGTGGAGTTTCTTCATGCATGACGTAACTAAAAGTTTCTTGAACTGCTTATCTTCTATCCCTAGTTTCCATATATAATGCTGCATTAAAATGCAGTTTACCGCCTCTGTTGTTTCAACCCAGTAATTTCAATGCTATAAAAAATATACATATGATAGCTAATCATGGCTAATTACAATAAATGCAAGCTGTAGAACAATTATATATTTTTGAATTTTACAAATGCTAGCCAGTTTGCACTAAAACTCTAAAATCTGAGCTATTTAGTCTCATATTTCGGCAGATGTAAAATCATACAGCAACAGTACAGAGGTGCAGTGAGGACAGCATTTTGACAATTAGAACAAAACCAGAAATAAAAGTAATACAACGTTCCCATAAGACGGTATGAGAGCACTTCTTACCACCTCTGCTCTGTTCTACAATGTCTGATCTGAAGCCATAGAGTTTAAAAAATATACTAAATTTATCAATTGAATAAACAAAGTCTATGACCTGAGGACTTGATCGATGATCGATTGAAATATGAGAAGATCCGTGGAAGCGCTTGAGGTATAATTTTTAGCCAAAAATAGAGCTCCAAAGTTGGCTCTCTCTCAGGTACTGTAGATCACAGAGGCGTGGCTTGGTGTCATTTGAAAGAGCTCATTTTACAGGTTATAGGCCTTTTTAAGGTTAAGACCTCATGCCAGATGAATAGCTGGGTTTATGACCAATTAGATGTGGTGCCGCTCATATAGCGCTGTAAGGTGCGTACTGAACATGGTAGAGAATATTCTGCAGATTGACCCTTGTGGTACACTGTGAGGTCAATCAACATCAATCATCAGGTTCTTAGGTTTGTGACACAAAACTTTAGGTAGGAGGCCTGAGTTTGCTCACATGGTCACCCCAGAACCATCTGGTCATCAGTGCATGTGGGTGAATTTATCGCCAAGGCATGCATTGCTCCCAGCCCCATGCTGAGGTGATCATCAGCCAAAAAATTCTGTCTATACAGTAATAATACAAGGTTCAAAGTTCTTTACGCTTTCCAGGCAAGCATCCTGTCTGGGTTTCCAATGGACTCCAACACAAGTGGGCAATCTCCAAAGACTCCTGGAAAGCATCAGTCAGCAGAGTCAGTGACTGATGTGGGATTACATACAACAGAATAAATAAAATAAAAAATGGAAAAAAGCCTTTATTGGTCACATTCTTTTCCTGGCATATCCCAGCTTGTTAGAAATTTGGAGTCAGAGCAGAAAGTCATCCACAATACAGCACCACTGGAGGAGATTAAGGGCCTTGCTCAAGGGCCTAATAATGGCAGCTGTGTGGTGTTGGGGATTGAACCCCTGACCCTCTAATTAGTAAGCAAAAGCTTTAACCACTGAACCACAACTGCCTAGGGCAAAAGCACCACCCCAGGGTGCAATCACCACTCTGCTGGGCATATGCACTTCATCAGCAAGACTGCTGCACTACTGTGCTGACCCAGAATGTTCCTTAATCTCTGCCATTCCGAAAGTGTTTCAAAAAGTGGTAGGAAGGACTTGAGGGCCAGCACGGCTGTCCTAAATTCTGACAGGCTGATGTACCCTTTTTTCTCTCCATTCTGAGGAAAAAACAGACATAGCATGTTTTGAGGGAGCCTTTGACTGTTTTCCCAGCTTAGAATTGCTAATCAATAGAAGTGTTGATGAGACCTTTTCTCAAAAATTATTTCCCTCTTCTTAGCCATATTTTAAATTTCTTTTAACCAGCTACTCCCAAGGTCACTTAGAGTGGATGTATGTAGTCAATTACCTTCAATTTCATACAGCTCTCCCTAGCAGAGTAACCACATGGTGTGGTTCATCACATTATGTATGGATTAATTGTGACAACCAGAATAATCTTATGTGTCCAAAAACTTAATCTAATTTTGAACATTATAATAATTTATTTGTTTATATGTTTTGGTTGAAAAGCACCGTTCTTTACAATAAATGCCACTTGGTTTTATATGTTTTCTAATGCAGTGAAATATGTACATTTGTAAGTGTGGTTTAAGTGTTTTTGAGGCCACTGTATAATGGTTAGATTCTTGATAATACTTTGGTACACATTTATCTAATTATGCATTTATTGCTTTGTAGTGCTTTCTTTGTATGGGTTTATTTTATCCCTTTCCTGGCATATATGTTGTTTGTCTTATTAATGTTATCATGAGTAAAGCCTGGTATTTGTGTTTTCACAGGCCTACTGCCATCAGAGATAAAAGCACTGGCACTGGAAAAGGAGTGTATAAGCATAAAGATTTGTGGCTCATGCGTATGCATTAGAAACACTGACACCAGGGGGTTTTATAGACATACTGCAAGTGCAAAATAGACATTTATCTATCTGTCTGTTGTGTCCTTCACCATCGTGGAGTGACTTTCCCTCTGGGTCCCTCTGCCTACATCCACGTAAGTTCCTCTCTCCAGCTGTCGATACACCCACAGGTTCTGATAAATACTGACATAAATAGTGAGGAACTCAAAAACTGAATTATCTTATGCATATGTTCACAGGAGACCCATTGTGGCTACCGCACTGTGAATATCTACCCCACCAACCTGCCCTCTGAACACCACCAGCAATACCAAATTCTCAAAAGCTCACACACCAAAGACATCTCTAATGGAAGCCACAGTCACCTTAGCATCATCAATACCTGTATTAATTGCATGGACAAGATCTCTGTGGTAGACTGTGATTAGCCAGAAGTTTTCTTTTTGCTTTTTTCCCATTGTCAAAATTTCCAGTTATAAGCAAACGCACTACTGTTTTTTGGTGTCAAATTGTTTTACTGAAAATGCATATCTAAAACGTCTCCCCAATTCAGGTGTTATAACAATCTTTTACACAAAGCAAATGACAAAGCAAATCTTGGTTGTATGTAAAAGCATCTCTAACACGAAGTGTTAATAAAACATGTTTGATTTAGCTATTCACAGATTTGGCTATTCATCTTTTCTCTTGCATATCGACTCCACTGGCCTGGATATAGTTGAACCACATCTTTTTTATTTGTTGTTTCATCTTGGCCAAATCTGGCTGAGATCTGACCTAAAAATCATAGGTTCTGCATCCTGGTCCAAATATTTTTGGCAGGCCGATCCCTACAAACTGATCCAAAATCATCTTGAAAATGACCTTTAAAGTCAAAAACATGAATGGCAAACATCCAAGAGAAATATAGAGTTGTTAACATTTCCTCTGTCTACTCAGGCAGAGAATTTCACAGCTAACAATCCATACATACAAGCTACTAGCAAAGCTTCTAAATTAATATAAAAGTCTTTAACTTTAACTAGTCTTGACCTAGGACCAAAGAACACCAAGTATTTCCATGTTACTATCTTATTAAATGCTGTAGAGTTCCGATTTAAAGTCTTACAGCAAATAGAGTTACTGTGCATGAAGGGTTTACTGTCACTTTGATGCAAGCTTGTGTGATCCAGAATATGCACACTTCCTTTTCTCAGCCTATTAACATTCCTGATATTTGGCAGTGAAATCCCAACACTTGGTAAGACAAATATAGGATTACAGTGTGACATGGTGCTTCATCCTTGTCCCTCATTGTCATTTCTGTAATAACCAATGACATTACTTAAAGATGAGCATCAGCAATTTTTAGAGTAACCCTGTGCTAGGCAGTTGAAATTTGAGAACATAAAGTCATCCAGTATACAGTCTTTGGTACTTTTAGAGTTACCATTGTTCAACTTTGTTCAAAGTAATATCATTAAGCAGGGTTTACAGGTTTTAGCAAAATTATCAGCCCAACTATCCTCAAAATAACATAAAAGACCTGACACTTGCCTAAACAATTTGGGCATTAGGAAAAGAAGACTTTTTTCTCAGCCTTTTTTTTTTATTTTTATTTTTTTATTATTATTATTTTTTTTTTACATGTATTTCTGTTGTATGGACACCCATATCTCCCAATCTTTACAATATATCTTACAATATATATGGTTCTGTATATCATAAACATACTGTCTGCACTTACACTTTGCCTTTTGTGGAAATTAATTGCATTTAATTCCAACGATTTGCTAAAAAAACAAGATCTTGGCAGCTGCAAAGTAGTTTTAAACTTACAGAATTTAAAAAACATGTCATTAACTGTCCTGTCCACTGCTTCTCCCCTAAGCATGGGGCAGCATGATTCCTGCCACAAAGGCCCCCTATAAGCGCTTTCTGCAGTGCCTATTTTTAACCACTAAGTGCAGTAATAACTCTATAGTGCCAAATGGAGCAGTGAGCATGCATGGCAACGCAAAAGAGGTAATTATTATTTCAATGAAATTTAAAATGTAAGGAGCTGTGAATGAGGAGTTTATGAAGATGAACATTTGTTGAATGGCTGATATTTATACAGAGGACACCTACCACTATGGATGAGCCATCAATGGTTATCAGTCTTTTTAATACCTGTTAAAACTAGAAATGTAAATAAATGTAACAGTAACCTTGAGTTTTTTTTGTGTTTCTGATAACAGCTACAATTTTCCCTTATTTTGAAGATAAGAGAATGAGTATTTGTTCTTTTGGCTAGACATTTAAGAAATGATACAGCAAAAGTAGTGACCATGATAAAGCTCTTGTTTAATCATAGGCGAGATTAACATATAATTCTTTTCCACAGAGATACGGAAGATAAAATAAGTTTTTAAAATAGCCTTGTATCAGGAAGCAGTGGGTCCATGTCATAAAAATTTCATTAAAACATTTTTAAAAACATTTTCAGTTAAAATTTCCTGCATATTTTGAAATATACTGTATTTAATGAGATATTTTAAAGTTTATTCTCTCCCTTTCCTTTCTCTTTACTCTATGCTCACATACACTGTTATGAACTAACCTGTCTCATGGATGTACCGCAACATTAAATGTAACTATAAATAGTTAAAAAGTTTGACATGCCAGTCATATAAAAATTTATGCAAAAATTGTAACAATGGCAAATTGCTGTGATATAAGTGAAATGAAACACTTCAGAATGTACATAGCACGATAAACTTTGGGGTGGTACCAGGAACTCTGCTTTGTGTCAGGATGCATCTCACTGATTAATTTCCTATTACAGCACACCCTGAAATAGTTCATTCCTTACTAAATCAGTGGTAAAATTCCAATTGTTTTTGGCAGTGGATCCGACTTACTAACCATACTATATAGTACTTATATACAATGTTTAGATTTTTAGGTACATTTTCAAAGAGACTAGATTAGAAAAAAAAAAAAGTAAGAATACATATAGCTAATTAGGATGCACTTGATTTATTTCTTTTTAGTGCCTACCCTCTGAGACTTGGCTCCATCCCTTTCCTGGTACAAATCTTGTTTGTGTGTCTTATCAGTAAAGCCTGGCATTAAGCGAGTGTTTCCATAAGAGAGAAAGGTGCTGGCACAGGTCAAGACAAGTTTATATGCATTATGATATGCGGCTGGTGTGCATATAAAAAGGCTGTGTTGTGCGAATGATCTGTGTGTTCATTCGGGGCAGACGTAGAACAAGAATCACTATGAAGGGCCTTATTATCCTTATGGCTTGCTTCATCCTCTCGGAGGCAGCCATCAGGTAAGTTTTATGTCTTTATCATTTGGTTGATGACTCTCTTTACTCTTTTTCACTTTTGCACTAGTCTTCAGTTGTACATGTATTGTGAAGAGTGATAGCTTTATGTTGTGTTTAGTCAAGGTTTTGTCTGTCTGTGCAGGGTTCCCCTGATAAAGGGTAAGTCCATCAGAGAGCGTCTGAGGGAGAAGGGCATCCATCTGCCCTACACTGATCCAGCCCTTAAATATCAGCACCCAAACGTCCTGGCCTCTACCACTATTGATTCCATGACCTATGCTGATGTAAGTCAAATCCCAATCTTATTTCTTAAACCAGCTGAAGTATTCATCTGATCAGCTTAACACCTATGTTTCAGTCATACTACTTTGGCGTGATCAGTGTAGGCACACCACCCCAGTCCTTCCAAGTGCTCTTTGACACAGGCTCTTCCAATCTGTGGGTTAACTCTGTGTACTGCAGCACCCAGGCATGCAGTAAGTTCTACTACAGTGCTGCAATAGAAACACTGACACCAGGGAGTTTTATAGACATACTGTGTGCAATTAGGCAAAAGAGATATTTATAACATAGCCCTGTCCATTTCTCTCCTCAGCGGCACAAACACAGTTCAACCCTCAGCAGTCCTCCACCTACCAGAGCACCTCCCAAACTTTCTACCTGCCCTACGGAGCTGGAGCTCTCTACGGCGTCTTTGGTTATGACACTGTCACTGTGAGTGTTCTAGCTTATATTTTAGCACATATAAACCTAAACCTGATATACTATGACTCTTCTATGTTCCATGC